ATGGGTCTGGTGAAAAGAGATGAGGATAATATTCGTATGATTCAATAGTTAGTAATTGTTGTCATGACTAATTGTGACTGTCACAATTGTAAAGGTAGAAATTTTGTAACAAAAACAGGGGAGTGGTTAAGCTTACAGTGCAGAAACAGAGGACCCTAGTACCATCAAGGGAGAAGAGCACAAGCAGAATGCAGAACCTTATCCACAAAAGCAGCGATGCCAGAGACAGAGGCAGAGATGTTTGCATGGAGAGGGGAAGCAGCTGAGGACACGAGATTCATGGGAAGAGAGGGACTAACAGCTGGTGGCCAGGAGGCAGACTTGCAGAATGTGCCCTTTGGAGGTGTAAATTATTATATATGCCTGAGTCGTTGTTTTTTGTTTGTTTGTTTTTTAAAAGCTAAAGTGGATAGAGAAAATTACTGTTAACCGATGGTACATGGAAGGGATTACAATCACTGTAATGAAACAAGGTGTATGATTTGTTGACTGTAAAACTGATGATCTGCCCTGTAAACGTTCACATAATCCACAATAAAAGCCTTAAAAAAAAATAAAATAAAAAAAGTGAGGACCTTTTTCTCTTGGTCCCAAAGCTTCCTGGAGAACTTATACAAATAAAGATAATTTGAAAACACAATTCTTAGAGAATCAACATAACTGCCTAGTCTTAATAGACACATACATTGGAAAGGTAAACTCAGGGTTTCAATATTATGGAGTTTTAGACAAGTGAATTCAGAATTATTCCCCAAACTATAATTATGGAATATCCCAGATGAAGGCTGAGAGCAATAAAAAGGAAGTTCTCTTTTGTTTCACGTCACAGCAGAAAATACAAGAGTACCAAACAGACGTGGGTCTGTGTCTACCTTTGTATTTTTATCTTTGTTTCCCTTATTGCCCCAGCGTTAATCAAAATGCTTAACCTGGGAGAGTCTTTGGTGAAACCCAAAGTAGTCTATGAAGACACGTGATGTGCAGGAGAATCATATCCTACGTCTATTGGGATCCATACAAAGAGGACATGGGAGGGTCTTGCTAAAGCCCCTGGGCCACTGTCAAATGCTAAATATGACACTGGGTGAGGGGTGGGTTTGGCCCAACAAGGGACTATGTAAAGTTTGAAAGTGCTGGCCAATGAGGTGCCCCTTAGAGACCAGAGCATGGCGTGTGGGTTGGTTGCAATATTGTGGGAATAGGACTTCTTGAAAATCTAACTGTGTCATCCTCTCTCCCAAGAGTTGAATAAAGTGCTACAAGGTAGGAAGAATGAAGTAGAAGGAACTCATCAATGCACTGTCCTTGAGTTAATTCTGACTCATAGCAACCCCATGGGATAGAGGAGAAACTGCCCCACAGGGTTTTCTAAGGCCATAATCTTTATAGGAGCAGATTGCCACGTCTTTCACCCACCAAGCCACTGATGGGCTCAAACTGCCAACTCTTTGGTTTGTAGTAAAGCACTTAAACCACTGTGCCACTAGGGCTCCTTGACACAGAAGAACATACCACAAAATAGGTTGATCTGTTCAGACTGGTGGGATCACGGAGAAAACAGAAGCCCCTAGAAATGGATCTCCAACCCAGCTTCACCCCACACTTCAGCCACACCCGACAGAAAGAACCCAGAAAATCACAACTGTAGCCAGAATCTGAAGTTTTAAATAAAAACTGGCTCCTGACAGGAAGACAGGAATAAAGCATGCTCCGTGTAAGTTGTTCTCAACAGCTGGTGCCAAGTATACTGTCGGGACTGAAGGATCCCATTAAAACCTAATGAAAACCAGGCGCTGAGATGCCCTCCGGGGAAGGCCCATAAAAATGCTTTAGACAAGCAATTTCACCCAACCAGCTTCTCAATGGGACCTGCTGGTGAGCCAAGATGCCTCTTCTGTAGCAAATGAGCCCACTGCCTATAAAATGGCACTGGAGTCTAAAATCCAGGAGACCCTGTAAAAGGGGAAATACCAGAGTCTCCCAAGCAGGTGTCTAGTAAACGAGCAATCTAGGCATCTGAGATTTTTGCTCAAATGCAACCATCCTGAGTGAGTTCAAGGGTCTGGCCTCACCCCACACTTCTCCCGCCCAACTCCTGTTATCCAATCCAACCAAGTACAATGCTGCATGAAGGAAGCTTTTCAAGTAGGTTGCCCACCATTGGTCAACCACCAAAGTGTCTAGCACTTCCTGCTGGCCAAAGGTGGGAACTATGAACGACATGAGGCTTGCTTGGAAATAAATTTACCACCACGCTCAGGCTTTAGCCCCATGGAAACCCCAAACGATGCCTCTTCAATGCCTTCCTCTGTCGGCAGCACTGCTCACGTGTTGGGGACCCACCTCTCAGTTTCTTTTGCCAATTCATTTCATTGAAGAGGTCTTCGGACCGCAGGAAGAAATCATTGATTTTGCTACCCTGCTCGTCCCTCTCTGTAGTGTAATATATTCGTAGTTTTGACTCTTTGGTTAGAAATTCACATATGCTGGGGACTGGGAAGACGATCTGTTCCATTGTTCGGTCTAACCTGACGATCTGGAGTGAGCAAAAAATGGACAAGATTCAGCAATTACATTGAAAATACTTTTCCTAGGTCAGTTTCGCGTTTGGCCAATGACTCGCTAGTATAATGCAGACCTGCCCCGGAGTCTGATCTTATAACCCCACACTGGACTCCCAGATTTCTATAAAAGATGGTGTGGGTAAGTCTATCAGAGGGGTTTTCTAGCCTCCAATCCATGTTTCAGTGTGAGGGATTTTTATCTGGACCCATTTAAATTGTGCTCCAGTGTCCTTATTTAGATGAAACTCTAGGCCATAGTTGTGCAATAAAACTTTCTGTCATGATGGAATGTTCTGCGTCTGAGCTGTCCAATAGGATAGCCAATGTTATTGTTCTTAAGAGTCGTTGAGTTGGTTCTGATTCATAGCGATCCAGAATAAGGTTTCCAAGGAACGGCTGGTGAATTTGAACCACTGGCCTTGCGGTTGCAGTCCAGTGCTTAAACCCACAGTGCCACCCCAGGACTCCTGGTTAGTGATCACTTGTCATGTGGTAAGTCTGAATAAAGAATTGAATTTTAATTTTAATGAATTTAAACAGTCACACGAAGCAAGTGGCTACTATATTGGACCATGTAGGTCTAAGCAGAGTACAAACTTCACCTATGACTTTTTTTTCCCCTAGGTAAGAATTTTATAAATAAGGACCTTGGCTTATCCAATTGCTATAGCCCTCTAACTTATTTGTACCAGACTCTACATTGTAAGATACCAATGAGCCCATGTAACTCTTGGAGAGCACTGCTCTTCACACTGACTTCGATTGGCCCCAGGGATGGATACCTCACAGGTTTTATCCATAGCCTTCTTAGGCTCATTCCCAATAAGGAAGTAATCTGGTCTGAAATGTTCAAATTCAGTTCTGGAGGGTAAAAATTTCAAAAGGGCTAAAGTTGTTATACAACTACTGTAGCATGGCCTTTCTTCATCCTTCCTCCCCAGAGGCTGGAGAAGTCAAGTGAGGCTCAGGAACAACACCTTATATCCTTAAGAGCTGGTTTTCACTCTCTCAATACTGGGTTCAATGATGGAACAAGAGAGGGAGTCAGGTCAAGTTGAAGTGGGAGCCTCTTTCAGAGGTATGACAGATCCCCATAGATTTGGCACCAAAATTCCTGAGGGACATGGGCTTTAGACCAATGGTTCCCAAATCTAGTTGGAGACCAAGTTACCAAAGGCCTAATTATAATGTTGACTCAGGTCCATAACCCAATCTCACTGAAGTACAGTTGTAGGAAGATTCCAATGTACCCTTAGGCCCAGGGACCAACTCTGTAGTCTCTTGCTACCATGAAAGAAACTGCCTGCTTTGTACCCACCTTCCTTACAATGAAGGAATGCAATCTCAGATGTGAGTCTGGTCTCAGGAGGGAAAAAGGAACAGCAGACAAGGTCTTGTGGTACCTTTGAGTTCTACACCCCAAGGCTACCCAGCATAACTCACTGAAGACACTAGACTCTGAATGGACAGCCTCAGTACCAACAAAGCTTTCTTTGGCTTTTCTTTAGTTACTTTCAGACTGGCCTAAGGGCAGCATTTTCTAGATAGGGACACCATGCCCCAGCCATTTCTGGGACTTAAGGATTTACCGTACCTTTTTTTCATTTGATTGGGAATCAGGAGATAATATTCCAGTCCTTCCCCTGTCTCTAATTGGCTAGATGACCTGGTTCACTCTTCTGTCCCGTGAACCAAGAAGTTCAATGAAATGACATTCAAGGTTTCATTCTCCTTTGACATTCTCTACCGTAAATACCAGAGGACAGAGCTGGCCCTCTGTCAAGTGTCTAATTGTTAAAAATAAATCAAGAATATTTGTTCACATACACTGGCATGGTAGACTAATCACTGAAATGGTCCATTTTATTAGGATGGACCAGAGCGCTGAGACATCAGGTAAGAAAATATTCTTGAAAAGCATTCATCCTGAACATTTTATTTTGCCTAAAGGAGCCTACTAGTCCTTCGAAGCTTTGTTCCTGCTGACCTTGAACGTGTGTGTGTTTGCTGATCACCCCTCACTACCAAGAGCCTGGAGAGAGAAGTCTGGTGACGTAAATGTCTCCTCTGGAGAGCCAACACTGGTGATGTAAATGGATTCACGGGCTTTGGGGATGGTCAGACCTGGATCAAAATTCCTGCTCCGCTACTGACAAATTGAGCATATAACACAGCACAGGGTGAGTTGCATGCTCAAGTGCACAGTCATAGACTTAACTCAGGACTGGTGATTTTATTTTATCTTTTTAAGGCATGTAACTGCCTCATGTAAAATTCTGACAGTCCCCTGCTGCCACAAGGACAGCTTCCCAGATTCTGCAGGGTTGGGGCTGCCCACCTACCCTTCCTGATCTTTGTCATTCTCCCCATTGGCCACTGAACTCCAGCCAGTTCAGTAAGGCAGGCCTTACCTCAGAGCTTCTCACCGTCCCCAGCAACGTCCCCTCTCTCACGGATGACACTTGCATAATTCTCCATGTCTAAAAAGTTTTGCCTGCTTGGGCCCAAGTTTTCCTTCAGGTCTGTCTCACATGCCATTTCTTCAGAACAGGCTTCCCAGGTCACGCTGCTGGACTTGCTCAGAATTGTTCTACTTGCCCTGCCTGGTGGCCTTACCAGAATTCCTAACGGAGGCTAGGGACATGTGTGGATTTGTTCTAAGTTGGCCAGTGAGTGGACCCTAAGCAGTAGTCACAACTATCTCGGCCATCATGGGAATTCATCCCCCAACAAAGAACCTGGTAGGCAGTAGGTGCTCACATGCATTAACTGATCTGACGAACGGAGGTGTGCAACCCCAGCTCAGTCTTGGTCCAAAGTCTCAGTCCTGCAACCCACCCATGTCCTATGTTTTTACCTCTATTTGCGCTGTGTGCTTGGCATAAAACTCCAGAGCTTCGTCTCCCTCCACTTGACCACCGGGCTTCAACATGGTCTGGAGTTCTTTGTTATGCCGAGCCAACTAGAACCCAAGAACATAAAAGACACGAATTGCTCTTTGCTCCTTCCCAGTTCTGAGTATCAAAAATATACAATGGCCAAGAGCGAGGACTACACACAGCTCCTGCTGCCTTTGAGTACACATGATATACAACAGCCAGCACATATAATATACAACAACCCGCGCATGGTAAGCACAAGGGCACAAGAGGCAGAAGACTTTGCACGGCGGTTATTTTGGGAGTTTGGCAGAACAGCGTGGAAAGTTGACGTCATGTCAGGTCCCACTTGGCCCTGATTTCTTCACCCAGGCAGGAGGGTGATGGAGTTTTCTGGACCAACTCTTGAGACTTCTATTAAGAGCGTTCAGAAACCTCCTCAGCTGACTAGATGCTGGGAATAGAGGGGCAGGAGATGGTTTTATAGTCTTCAGTCATTACGCCTTAGTAAGGAACTGCCAACCATATGATCAATACTTCCACTCCCCTGTGTGTCTGTTGAAAACCATGGGCTTTTCAAAGGCTGATTTTTGGGAAGTAGATCACTGGGCCTTTATTTGGAGACTCCTCTAGGGGGACTCAAACCTTCAACCTTTTGGCTAAAAACAGACTATGCCAACCTTGGATTCCAGGGCCAAACATTTCAAGGCTCTGGCTTTATGTCTAGTTCCTATAATTGAGTTTAAAAGAGTTCTTCAATTTTAAAAAATTGAAAAGATAAGTAAAGCAAACCTCTGATGCAGTTACAGGCTGTCCATACACACCAGAAAAACTTAAAAGGCACATGAACATCCAGAAAGAAGAAGTATCTTCAAAACCTGCCCCTCTGGAGGACAATTACAAAATATGGCATTTGGGTGCTAGGGCATAAAGTATGACTATGTTCCCCAAAAGGCAAACAAAAAGAAGTCTTAACGACAAGTTCCCATCATTTCCAAATATGATAGCAAGGAAGCTGAAGTTTATCTCTTTAGATTGTTAAAATAACTCATCAATATTTATGAAGAGCCCAAGACAGCTTTTAATTGTCTCCAGACAGAGCCATAAATTAATATTTAAGTGTCACTGCTCAGTAATGGATGGCTTTTAAGAAATAGGGGGATTTCCAAGAACATGGGTTTACCAAATGGAAAAATCCTGGGACTCAGCAAAGGCACCTGTTAGTCAGATTGTCATGAATGCAAACGGCCCCAGGCTACAACCTTACAGGAAAAGCAAACTTAATGGTACATGCAGTTTGGAAATGGATTTTGTACTGTAGGTAAGCAAAGTAAGTCAGGAAGTAGGATGGGGAGAAATCACACCTGATGAGCTAATATGTAGATATTGTGCCCCACATTCCGGGGAGAGGCAGCTCCATCCTCGCCATTTTCTCCATCCTCAAATTCCACTTCACCTTGCAGGTAGGCCTTCTTGATCACTTCCACCTGTAAGAAGGGTCATACAGACAAAGCTTCTGTTTCAAGTAAATTCCAAAGAGAGGCGGCACACACACTATCCATCTCAACCTCCTGGGTCAGACACTGTTCATTCAATGGATCCAGCCTCGGAATCCTTCTCACCACTAATATAGACAGTCACCACCAACCAACCGCCAATGATACGAGAAAGAAGACTCATTTACTCTACCTCGTTCATACCCTTCTACCTAAAATCGCCTTGAAACAATAAAATGCAACACAAACGTAAGCTGGAAACTAGACTTCTCTCTCTTACATTTCTAGCTGTTCCTGTTCTTTCCTGTCATTTCAGGAAAAATTAGTAAGAAAAGCACTAGCTCTTAGGAATAGCTAGCAACAGTATTTGTCTGATTCCAAACTTACTCCTATGCCCCACAGCCCTCTCTGTGGGGAAAATAATACCACTAACAAGTAATGCCTCCTGAACACTCACTATATGTCAAACACTGTACTTAGTTTTTTAATACCCTTTAAAAATTTTTTACTGGTCACCAACATTTGATGAGATTATCACTAATGCCTTTTTGTGTGTGTGGATTAAGAAACAGAATCAGAGACATAGCAGTACACCCTAGTTATATGGATGGGATCCCAACTTCGGCCTGTTACCCTTCATAGTCGTACATAGCCTTAGTCTCAAAACGTGTTCCGTACAGCTTTTCTGGTCCCGTTTAGCCTCGTTTCTTGTTTATTTCTCATCCCTCCCTCATGCCCAGCACAGTGCCCAGGGCAAGGGACTCATTCAATATAAGGGGGCTTTGAAAGGGTCATGGAAAAATTCCATTATCTTGTCACCCCATTTTCCCCACAAACTTTTTGAAGCTCCCTCGTATTTTCCAAATGAATGTATCAGTCAAGACCGTAATTTAAAAAAATTAGAACCAAATACCTTCCACCCCAAAGTTATACTAAAACGAAGTCATTTTTCTTGCATGAGTCAGAACTGTGCTCCATAGGGTTTACAATGGTTCACTTTTCGGATAGAGATCACCAGGTCTTTCTTCCTGTGGATGAACTCAAACTTTCAACGGTTTTGGTTAACGGGTCATACTTCCCAGTGATCCCTATGTGGCCACTGCCCTACTTTATTCCTCCTATCATACAGAACAAGCACACAGAGGGTCAAATATTTCTCTACAAGTGCTGCATCGGCCTTGGAACTAACTCGGGTGACAAAACTCTCCCTCTGAGCTCGTTTTCCTGTAGGTTCTAAAACCAAATCACACAGACAACACGTTCCACAGGAGGCGGGGCCAGAATACACACATGCACACACAAACACTCGTGTTCTGGGTACTGGAGCTTTCCTGATATTTGGAGTCTTAAAAATGGTATTTGCTGTAGGAAGCCTGTAGTTGTTTATTGCCTATGAACCAGGAATGATGTTCTCCAACCACAAGGGGGCAACTCTAGAATCAGTGGCACTCACAGCACTGGGGGCTGAACCCCCACACCCAGGAATGGGTCAGAATAGCTGGGGGGCATGTTCTTGATTTGTAGGAACCTGAACAGGGTCTCCGCAAAGTCACTGTGTTCCTGCTCAAGGAGTGACAGCTCCTACCCCTCTTAGCCCACCCCAGGTTATATAAGCCATTGTGTAAACGCAGAGAAGTCTTCCATATGGAAGCTGACCTCAGAGATGAAAGACTGGGGCTCACTGCTCACTTTACTTAGAGGGATACGTAAAGGGACTTTAGCCTGGCCCCAAGTGAGCATTTAGGTCACCACGAGGCAGAAAAGTTTTACTGCCCTCGTTTATGTCTGCCAGTTACTGTCTATCTGCATTGGGGGAATAGTCCAAATAGGGAATCTGTCCTCAACTTAGTTCTCTGCTTCTGAGAGTTGTTCTTCTCACAGTTTACAACTCTAACTCCCAACCTGGAAATCACAGCCAATTTTGACTATCACTCCTCAAAAATAAACAAGACCATGTGTTCTTTCAAAATACAAATCACCAGCACCCAAATACCCCTCTTCTGTCATCCAGAGCAAATCTGAATTCATTAGCACTGGACAAACGGTATGGCAAAAAGACCAGAGATGAAGGAAGAATAAGAAGAGAAGGCACTTTGGTTCTCTCCAAGGGTTTATCATGTGCCAGAGCTGTTGCCAAGAGCTCCACATGAATCTTCTCATCCGGTCTTCCAAACAAGACTGGGTTAGGTAATATCAGTATCTTCCTTTAACAGAAAAGGAAAGTGCAGCTTAGGGAATTCAAGGAGCTGCCAAACACAGGGGCAGCACCATGGACCTCCTAGAGGTCCTTGTCCTTGACCACTGTCTGCACACTGCCCCACACCACCCAGAGGACGAATGAAGGCAGTAAGAGGGAGGTTTCCCCAGTTGGAAGTGAGTAGGCAGAAGGCCATTTAGTCAACAAATGGCTCACTTTTCTACCTTTGTCAGGGTCCTGAAGGAGATGTTATCATTACACATCTGTTATCTGGAATCTTGATGAATGCGCTCAAGGAAGTGGATTCTGTTGCTTTGCTCTAAATATTGTTCCCATTTTATTGGCATCATCACAGGGGTCACGGTCACCCAACTTACCAGCTCTTTTGGCCTCATGTTATAAAGGATCCTCTCGGCATTCTCACTGTCGTGCCGACTCTCCATGATAGCCAGGAGTAACTTGGAAGCATTGTTCTAATTGGAGAAACAAAAGAAGGACAAGCCTAGAGCAGCTGCTTCCGGCCAGAGCACACGGATACTTCATCCATGGGAGAGACATCGGTAAGAACCTCCAAAGCCATGTTCACCAGATAGACAATGTGTCACGTCACACCCAAGAAACATGGCGGTAGATTCTGAGGTGGGTCAAAAAGCCAGCTGCCTCAAGGAGACCCCATGAGTGTCAGGGTAGAACTGTGTTCCATAGGGTTTTTAACTGCAGAATTTTAGAACGTAGATCACCAGGCCTTTCTTCGAAGGTACCTCTGGGTGGGCTCAAACCACCAACCTTTTGGTTAGCACTCGTGCGTTAACTGTTTCCGTTAACTACCCAGAGACTCTGGGTTGGATCAAAAGGGTAACTATCTGTTCAGGCATATTGGAAGGGGACATTCAAACATGGGTGCTGGTGGCATGTGGTCCTAGTGGTCAGGAAGAACCTGCCATATAGACCCATGCTGGGTGTCATGTGGTTGTTAAGCACTGATATTCAGCCTTGCAGACCAGAGAAGTCAGGCAATTGAGGTCACTCCTACCTGTTTTGAACTGTTTCTATTAGCGCTGCTTATAACCCCTGATATTACTACATTAGCTGATACCAGTTACCAAACAGGGCCCCAAGGAGCACAGCATGCTTGCCAATTGCTAGTTAGTTCAACATTTTCATGTACCCACACCTTGGATTTCTTTTGGTTTGACCTCATTTTAGGTCCCGGGTCTATGGAAATGCGCATGTTCCTTCATACCCCAATAACACTGCTGAGGATGTCAACTCACAGAGACCCTACAGGACAGAGCTGAACTACCCCCGTGGAGTTTCCGAGGATGTAAATCTTTACAGGAGTACACTGCCATGTCTTTCTCTTGTGGAGCGGCTGGTGGGTTGGAAGCTCTGATCTTTCAGCCAGCAGACAAGTGCTTTAACCACTGTACCACCAGAGCTCCCATTCATCTGTCTGTAGCCCTATTGCTAGATTTTCCCTCCCCAGTTATAAGTAAACAGTTCCATCAGATTACTATGCTATCACATGGGAAACTTTTTCCTAGGAAAGAAATTTCTACCAAAACTCACAAAAGGTACACATAGTTGAAAGCATGCTGACCAGGAACACATGAAATTCTCAGTCTACCTGCTCTCAGAGCCCATGAGAATGGAGGTCACCAGGTGCACAAGCTACAATGAGTTCACAGAAGTCTCAAGCAAAGTTTGTCCAAAGGAGTTAAAACAGCAACGAAAAATTTCATTTAACCCATATACCCAAATCAACTACTGGTTTGAATTCTAAGTTCTGAATACTAAAAGGGAAAGCAAAAGCCATTATTCAGTTCTGGTGGGCTCTTGTTCAATATCTTCCCCCCAGTGACCTTTCTTTCCTGTAACATATTTTATGCAAAATTCTATAGTTCTAAGCCTTTTTGTAACAACGATAAAGTGTCTGTGGCTACGTATGGGTGTGAGATAAAGGAGGCGTCTCAACGTGCCCTGATGTGGGAGCAGTTCAAAAGGAAATGTGCTTAGGGAGGTTAAACCTTTTCAACATGCACTTTAGACACCAGGATGTGTTGGGTTGCAAGTTCAATTCCCAGAATGCAATCTTCAGATTCTTAGGGAATCTTTGGAACCCAATGTAGGGACTGGAGAGTTGCTGGCTTGCTAAGGAAATCAACATGGAAAGGAATGGGCTATCAGCTTCTCAAATATCCAAGAGGCCAGTTTGTAAACACAGCAGCTGAAGTTACTACTTTCATCCCATAAAACTATTTTGGTATTATAGGAAGTCAGAATGCCAGTGGGGCTTCAATACCAGTCATCATTTATATGCAATTCCAAGCAGCTCTTCAGAGGTCTGTAGGCACATTCTTGGCTAGTGTAACTTTCCTCATCATAAACCAACCTTTTAATAAACACCTATCTCAACCAGTAAAAACAACCAGCTGCCGTTGAGTCAGTCCCTAATCCTGGCAACCTCTTGTGTGGCAGAGTAGAACTATGCTCTACAGGGTTTTCAACAACTGATTTTTCAGAAGTGGATCATCAGGAGTTTCTTCCAAGGCACTTCTAACCTTTCAGTTAGCAGCCAAGCATAGTAACCATTAGTACTACCCAGGAACTCTAATTAAATCAATAGCAAGACACAGAAAACAATGAAAACTGTTGATAAAAATACGAATAGAAGAGCCCTGGTGGTGTTGTAGGATAAGCACTGGACTTCTAATCACAAGGTCGGCAGTTCAAATCCACCAGCCATTCCTTGGGAGAAAGATGAGGTTTTTCTGCTCAGATGAGGATTTACAGGCTCAGAAACCCTATGTAGGGTCACTATGCATCAGAACCAACTTGAGGGCAGTGGGTTTTGCTATTTAAGATATGTTTATTTGTACTATTCCTCAGCTGATCCCCTTTTCCTCAAAGGGGATGAAAACGAGATACTATAGAGGAAATGAAGTTTCCATTATTTCTCTGTGTGGCTTTTAGAATCACCGCTCTCAGTTCTTAGATACCGTGTGAACTGATTTCTCAGTTTTGAGTGGTGCATCCTCACTTTAGGTGACCTAACTCTGAAAAACTGGTACCTTGTCACAAGACCCTTTCTGAAGTGGAAAGACTGACATTCTGAATTTTAGTCAGAGTTTACAACTTGTATCGTTCATTTAGGTTAAAATGATCATCTTTAATATCTGCTTTCACAACACTGACCATGTTACATGCTGAGGGAAAACACAGAAGTGACTTCCAATGCGAACTGCTTTTTGCTTTCCATTCCTACTTGCCTTCAGTTCTAACACAAGGTCCATCCGCTTCTTGCCCAAAGGATTGATGTCATTGAGGATGAGGGCTGTGATGATGTCGATGCCATTGGACTCGTGGGTGGCTATGCAGTTCTAAGCAAACAGACACACAGAGACATAAGTGAGGACCGTCAGTCAGATGCCACAAGCCAACACAGGCTGAGCTGCTATTTTAAATCTCAGTGCTTGCCACTCTTGGAGATACCTCTTGGGGGGGGGGGGGGGGGGGAGACGGCAAATTTTCCGTGAGAAAGTGGTAAAAATAAAAGACAGATGAAAATCTCTAGTTTCAGAATTAACAGTAAATAGCAGGAAAGTCCCCATGCACTGTAAGTGATAAAATTGGTCGTGTCTAATCCAACACAATGAGGGAAAACACAATGTATGACTGATACTGGGTTCTGAGCCCCGTTTTCCCCTTTAAAGGTGTGTTCCATTCTCTCCACCTCACTCGCATTTTCGCATTTTGTTCTTTTGCTTAAGGCTTAAGCTTGGACAGCAAGTTTCCTGTTTAATTTACGTAATATCAAAATTAATCATCTGCCCCTAGGCAAGATCCCCATTTGCAGCTGAGTTCATTCCATTCTGTTCTCATCCATAGATTTCTGTTTGGCAGAAATGCAAACTTGAGGTTATAATGAAATTCACTTAGATGTCAGATAAAACCTTCTTCCTCAAAGTTGTATTCCCCCCGCCCCGCCCCACTTCCTTCTCATTTTAACTAGGACGACACCATCTGTCTCGTAAGGAGCGGACCATGAATCTAACAAAATGCTAATCTCACATCCAGAGAGAACTCAGAACAGGCTCGAATCTACAATGAGTTCTCCTGTAAACTGTCCTTCTCCTAACAAGTAGGTACATCTTCCCACGCAACACAACATCTCAGACCTTCCCTGGCCACGGGGAGAGAGCTACTCATTTTAGACAGTGGTTTACTCCCTTCAACCAGGACAGAGCTGTGACCTGGAGCTGAAAAACATACTCATCTGAGCACCAATGCAGAACTCATAAAATCTTCAAGATGCCATGGCTAAGTAACAATTAGACTCAAGAAAAGAAAATATTGGGTTTCAACCCCAAAATACAATATGTAAGAAGGCAGAGTCAAAATAGGTTATCTGACGATTCACAGTGTTTAAATCTCAACTGCACATGATCTCATGCTATTTTCAAACTGCCTCACATTCTTATGCATGTTCATGTTATGTTCAAGCGGTCTCATGTGAAGAAAGTTTTTAATCTTTTGTTAGGTTAAAATCCCTTTCTTTCAAGTAGCCACTGTCTGAGTCTCTCCTACTAGCATTTAAAGTAAGTGTACAGTTCAGGGTTTTCTTCAAACTTCCATTTTATTACTTATTCCTGAAAGTCAAGCAAGGCTAGCAGAGACAACCACTTCAGTGCCAGTCATTTGGTAAAACTGTGATGCACAGTAAGCACCATGGTACTCTCTCCATGCTGGAAAAAGGTCTCAAGTCTTAGGTATGCTCCAGGTCAGTAGGCAGACGGCATGTGACTCTACCCGCTACACTTCTAAATAATCATATTCCTCTGTAAGCTTACCTGGTTCTCATGGCACGGTCCTTGGCAGTACTCCGTGAGACTCTCCAGGGTTTGATTGATCAACGCTACATTCTTCTCATTTATGTATAGTCCGAGCAGACCAAGGCCTCCAGTTGTGCTGCCACAAATACAGTCCAAAAACTGCAGGGTCTCACATACCAAATTATAATTGGTTTTGTTATTTTGGCAACGAAGGAAGTTCTGCAATTGGGCCATCCCCAGGTCGAGGGAGCAAAGAGAGAGAGAAGATGAAAATGTCATTCCTCCTGACACTTCGGTAGTGGGGACGACAGATCAATCAGTCATTATGCTGAGAGATGCTGCGTTGGGTAAACCAAAGAGCCAACATGGCCTCCCACAAGTGGTCTGTGGTCCACTGTGGCTTGTTTTCGGGGATACTTTTAAGGACTTAGTGGAAAAGAGTTCCTCTCTGAGAGTTCACTTCAGACTCCTCTTATAGTCTTTTCAAGCCCTAATTTCACCATTCACCTCTGACCTGCCCCGCCACCACCATGACTCCCTTCCCATCCCCAACTGGGGTCAAGTTCAGAGGTATTCAACATATTCAAGGGCAGCATTATGTTTAAATGAGGATGGCGTAGTTGGAGTGCTAAACATCCCAGCTTAGTAAAGGGATGACAGTTCACCACATAATGAGGTGATATAAGTTGATTTAGGGGTAGGGCAGCTTAAGCCCAGTATTGTGGAGGTAACCCAGATGATGCTCTGCCATGTCCATGAAAGAGGAAGAGTCAAGAGGGAGTAAATGCCTATAAACACAGAAGAATGTGCTCCCCAGATAAACGTCTAATGTTGTAAAGAGACATGAAAGCAGGGACCTTCCTAGCAAAAATACAATGTCTGTGAATTTTTATCTAACTAGGATTTTAGATCTTATATGTTATCTGGTAGGTTATTGCATTGGTCACTGGAGGAGGACATTGTGTTTGGTGAAGTGGAGGGCCAGTGAAGACCAGAGACTCTGGGTCCAATGGACTCGAACATGCCAGTGATCGTGAGGACGGCACAGGATTGAACAGCAGTTTCACTCTGTTGTGATGACATCAATGTGAGTCAGAGGAGACTTGATGGCAGATTAACAACAGGCTTTCATAAAAGGTCTGAATACTAAGGGCCACAAGAAGCTATAGAAGAGTTTCACAGTCATTTCTATCCTGTTCCCGAGTTTGGGCCTGGCCAAGCCCCTGAACATGTGGCTGATAGAAAAGCTCTCAAGAAGAGCGCAAAGATGGACAACAAGGAGCTGCCCAAAGCTGAGCTTCATGGCTCTCAAACTGCCCCTCTCCACTCAGCAGCATGAAAGTCTGACAATCTTTCGACCTGTGGATTTCAGGTACACTATTGCCTCAGCTTGTCACTCTTTCCCACCTCTACCTAGAAGCCATTCAGGCTCCCCCCTCCCTTCTCATGAGGGATATAGTGAAACAACCTCAATTAACAGGAATGGATAAGGAGAAGGGAACTTTAAGAAGCCATCATTTGGGCCAGGGACACATGGTTCAAACTCCATATAAAGGATGATTTCCTTTCTTGAAAGCGTCTCTCATATCTCATGGTTTTGCATGTGTCCACCTAGAACTTCACCTTCTCTAACTAAGATTCATTTCCTTTTGTCCTCTACAAAGCAAGCAGGATGGCATTCACTGGAAGGCAATTCAGAGGAAAGAATTAACCTTCAGCGCAACACCACCCCTGCCTGGTCTAGGAAAGAGAAATCTTGTTCTATTTTATGTTCTATCTTGAGGACCAGAAACAGAGTTGAGATGGTGGGTTAAGGAATTGAGGGTTTCGGTGGAGTTCTGGTGTGGCACTGTGGGTTAATGCACTGGACTGAAAAGTTGGTTTGAACCACAAGGTGGGTGGTTCAAGCTTACCAGATACTCCTCGGAAACCCTATATAGGATTACTATGGGTCAGAACTGACTCAATGGCACTTTATAACAACTATCAAAGACCTCAAGCCTCTGCTTATGCAGCCTTCGGTAGAGAGAGATTAGGACCTGCATTCATTAACCAGAGGAAAAAGCAAAACCAGCTTTGGAGGTGGGCGAAGGTTGAAATGGAACATGTAAAATGGTTAAAGAATAGTTCTTCCTATCAACTTTTAGACAACTGCAAACAAGGCTTGCTTAAGGCAGCAACTGCCAGTTTGGCAAAGTCAAACCTGGTGGCTTTATCTCTACTGAACATTTACTAACAGGAAAGTTGAGGTTATAAATATGACAAGAAATTCTGGGCTAGAGCCAAAGAGTGTTGTTGTAAGAGAATGGATCTCATCTCAAGCGAAGCTATTTGCACTTCTTTACACTAAGCAAAACCCAAAACCGCCCCCAGTTGATTCGAAGTCACGTGACCTCACACGAGTCAGAGCAGAACGGCACTTCATGGGGTTTTCAATGACTGTCGTCCTTTTGAAGCCTTTCTTCCGAGGTGCTTCTAAGTGAGTTCAAACTGCCAACCTTACAAAGAGTACTTCAGTACTTAACCATGTGCACCATTTAGAGACTTCCTTTCTTGACACCAAAACAAAACAAAACCCACTACCACCCAGTTGGTTGACAGGGAACTGAAAATTTCCTCCTTATCAAAGAATCTTCTCCTCTCTTGGATCCACAAGGAAACTCTGACCCAGTGATAAACCCTCTGCTCTGGGACGCTGCCAACAGAGTGGACGTCAAGTATTTTATTCTCACTTGTTGTTGTTGTCAGGTGCCATCGAGTCGGAACCGACTCATAGCGACCCCATGCACAGAACGAAACAATGCTCGATCCTGGGCCAACCTCACCACTGCTGCCACCCCCGAGTCCATCAATGATGCCACCTGGCTGATCCATCTCGTTGGGGGTCTTCCTCTTTTTCTCTGACCCTCCA